CTGCTGCCAGCTCCACTGGCTGCTGGCGGACCACAACACCTATTAGGTTTGGTCTGCCACAACAGTCCGAGTTTTTCTTGTGACCCCTTAGGAAAATTAATGGCCCACTCTTTTTTTTCTTAGGTGGTATCCAGCATCCTACGCAATCTCTCATGGCGAGCTGATATGAACAGCAAGAAAGTCTTGCGAGAAGTGGGCAGTGTCTCAGCGCTGATGCAGTGTGCCTTACGGGCCAGCAAGGTAAGATAGAAGAGGTAGAATCGACAGCCAACTCTAAAGCTAAAGTAACGTCATCACTGATGGACGCACAAAATGGGCAATAGCCCTCCTGGCCATAGCTCCTACCAGCAGGAGCCACAAGCCTAGATGGACCTCCAACCCATGCAAGAGTCAAATCTGGGCCTGTCTTTGTCAGAAATCACATCCGGAAAGCACACACAGATAACTGATTCAGCAGGATTCATGAACTTCTTTATACACATAACAACACACAAGTAAATGTGCAATACCAATAGTGGATTCTCCAACGTGGTTAGTAGTTATAGGCGAAACACAGGCAGTTGAGAGATCAGTTGAGTTTCCATTCAGAGCTTAATGCAGACAAGACCAGACTAGATTAGTTCTCTTGCACAGACTCAGAGCTACATAGATAAGCCACACCCAGGCTCCAAGCCATCTGGCATGGCTCTCAGTCATCAAATAGTTCCGATTGGCTGACCCAGTTGCCATGCTTACACATTGGCTGACCTTGTTACCATGTCCTATTCCAGCCAGTCCCCAATGGCTGACCTGTGGCTATGTCCTATTCCAGTTCATGAACGTTCTGACGGTCTTGGAATGAGTAGGCTTCGAAAATAACCTTAGCTCTGTTTTGTTGCCTACATTAGGATTGATTGATTGATGCTTATTTATCGTAAGGCATGTTCACATTACGTTTCAGTAAAAAGGAACAGTAAAATACGAAACATAGAATATACAATCTGAAATCTTCACAGGGAGATTACAAACGTATATGCAAATATATATATATTTTTTACCTCATTGGTCGTAGCCGAGAATTCAGCGAAAATCTCCATTATTGGTTTTGTTTTGACACATAACCACTATGTGTTGGATAGTTTGGTTTTCGGCTCCACAGTCACAATTCGGTGATGGTATTTTGCCCCACTGAATAGAGGGCATCGGGGTATCTACCATGGCCAGTGCGATTTTGGTTCAGTGTGGTCCATATCACATGGGGCTGGTCAAATCCGGGTATTTTTTTTCCAAGAGGCAAGGCAAACTTCTTTGACACTGGGGTGGGGGGGAACAGTGTTGTTTCCACATGTTGTGAGTGTCAAAATCATCTTTTGCAACTGCTTTAGCCCAAGGGTGTCAAACTTGATTTCATTGAGGGCCGCATCAGGGTCAGGTTTGACCTCAGGGGGACAGGGGGCATGACCAGTTGTATCGGGGGTGCCTGTGGTGGCCCGAGCACTCTGCCAGCAAAAACAGACCTCAGGAAGGCCACCTGAACTCTCTTTTCACTTGCAGAAGTACCATGGGCCAGCCCTTTGCTGTTTCCAGGGCGGCCCTGTGCGCCAGATCTACCAAATTTTTCGGAGTATAAGACGCACCTTTTTCAGGAGAGGAGGAAGGAAGGAAGGAGAGAAGAGAAGAAAGGGGGGTAGGAAGGAGGGAGGGAAGGAAGGAGGGAAGGAAGGAGGGAAGGAAGGAGGGAATGTAGGAGAGAGGAAGGGAGGAAGGAAGGAGG